AATACCTCTCCCTTCCTCCATCCGCCCTCTTTCCTCCTCCTCCCACCCATCATTCTCCATTTCTTCTCGTCCTCTCCCTGCTCCTCCTCGGCATCCCTCCTTCACGCCGCCGTGCTGATACAACCGCTCCCCCAATACTATGCATGATCCAGCGTTGCCCCCGCTCCTCCCCAAAGCATATGGGATCGAGCCCCTCCCCCGCTGGATGGGTACGCTCGTGAGCCTCGCGAATGCATCGCGAGTGGGATCGTTCCCCCTCCCTTGTGGTCGTGGCCCTGTGGGCGTGGCATGGTGGAGGATGCCGGTGCACCCCCCACCCTCTCCCTGTGGGTGTGGGGTGGTTCGTCGTCGTCGTCGACCGTCGTCCTTCTTCCGTCGTCCGTTGTCGTCGTCGTTGTCGTCGTCGTCGTCGGCGGCGGCGGCGGCGGCGACGGCGGCGTGGGCGTGGGCGTCGGCAGCGGCGGTTGCGGCGGCGGCGGCGGCAGCGTCGGCGTCAGCGTCGGCGTCGGCGTCGGCGTCGGCGTTGGTGTCGGCGTTGGCGGCAGCGGCGGCGGCGGCGGCGGCTGCGACGTCGTCATCGTCGTCGGCGTCGGCGTCGGCATCGGCGTCCTCGTCCCCCGCCCATCCCATCTGGGGCGGGGAGTTCGGGGGGCCTGTGGAACCCTTAGACCCATCCCATCTGGGGGAGGGGGCCGGTGAACCCTCGACCCGGGATCATACATAGCGAGCTGGGCGACGCAATTTTCGGACTGTCCGGGGGGGTGCCTGAGTCGCAGGAGCTCCGGGAGGGCCTCAGACGGCTGAAGTGAGCCTCGGAAGGCTTTAAGAGGTTCCGAAGAGACCCCCCAGACGACCCAAGGCGGCCTGAGGACAGGGCAACAGACACCCTCGACGGCCCAAGAGGGCCAGGGCCCGAAGAGGACTCCCAAGAGGCCCGAAGGGGTAAGAAGCACGGAGTGCCGATATGCTGTTCTACAATTGTCGCACACCCGCCTTTGTCAAAGCCTCCCCGACTGCCCAGGAGACACCCAAGTTCACCCCAGTGTGGCCCGCAAGGCGTCCCCTCGCCTCCCCTCCCCACTGCCTCATGCCGCCCCTCCTCCTCCTCCTCCTCTCCTCTCCCAGCCCTTCCTCTGGTCCCCTCCAGATAGCCACGTCCGAGGTTCTCGCGGATTCGGCAGAGCGCGCTGGGGTCGGCGCCGGCCAGAGGCGCCGTCAGGGGGCCGGCGCCTACCAAAGGACTCCGCGCGGACCGCCGACCGCTTATCTTGAATTGCATATGTTCTTCTTCTGATCGCCTCCCTTCCTCTCCCCGCTTTTTCTCCCCCTCTCACCTCCCCGCCAGATGTCTCCCAGAGCCCACCTAGGACCTTCGAAAGCCCCCAAAGAGCCTCGAGCAAGAACCTCGGCATGGCTCCCATGTCGTCAGGATCGGCCTCGCATTGCGAGATCAGTTCTGGTAAGTACGATCACATTCGATTCGGATGTTCCGACGATCCGTTGCGGTCCGATGTTCGCATGGCGTTGTTGTGCATCCTGGCGCGGTCGGTCCGAGCCGAGTCCGAGCCCATCCCACTGCTGGCCGATCCGGCGCACGTTCCCATCCCGTCCGTTGGCCCGACTCGCCCGATTCGGTGCTGACTGATGCTGGGACCTCCGAGAACATCGGACCTCCCTGGACGCGGGCCCCCGGAAGCATAGACACCGTCTCTGGGACCGGCTTCAGGTCGCAGGCCAATTTTAGACGGTCTTGGTGCCTTGTGGGGGTAGTGGGGGCCAACCTGTTTTCTCACAGCGCAAAGGGGGTCGTGATCTTCCAGCGTGAAAAAGAATACTCCAGAGCGGGCCCAGGACCGGGACAAATCGCTCCAGAGCGTTCCGGAACGCTCTCAGAGCGTCCTTGAGCGCTGTGGAACGTCCCCCAGCAATGCCAGATCTCAGAGATCCACGACTCATGCCGGTCTGACAATGTCCCAGTCTTGGCTCCGTCTTCAAAGCGGCGCGATGACGCGCGACTCACAACGCCACAAAAAAAACGATGTTGTGGTTTGTTCCACGGCACAAGGGGGGCTAAGGTTCCGAGAGACCCTCCAAGGACCTGACCGCGCGGGAGTCGAAGATCCTCTTCGCGGCCCTGGACCTGGACTACAACAAGTTGGTCGACGTGGACGGGCGGCGGGGTGGCCTCCTCCTCCCACTTCATCATCACCATCATCATCATCATCATCATCATCATCATCATCATCATCATCATCATCATCGTCATCTTCCTGCTCTTCCTGCTCCTCCTCCTTATGCTTCTCACCCTCCTCATCCTCTTCCCGTTCCTCATGCAGCCCCCGCTGTTGCTGATGCCGTGGCTTTTGCGTCTAGGCAACGACTCTAGCGAGCGACGAGTCAGTTGCGACATTGATAGCTGTGCCACTGAGTGCCTCTACTGTTGTCAGGGTGCCAGCAGACGAATCAACTGCAAGCACCTTGTTCCAAAGTTCCTGATGTGAACCGTATGGAGGAACCAGTTCTCCGTTTTCTCTTCCTGCTCTTCCTGCTTTTCCGGAATCATCATCATCATCATCATCATCATCATCATCATCATCATTATCATCATCGTCTTGTTCTTGCTCTTCCTGTTGGTACAACTATGCGTACACTCTTGGTGGTACACTCTGTGGTGCGATACATGCGGTGCGATCGATGATGTCTTCATACATAATATAACCGCATGCCGATGATAATAAAGGGACCCCCCCCTTCAGTGTTTAGAGTTGATTATCGTCGCCCTATACAAAATTCAAATTGGGCGGCGAGCGCTGAGGCCGAACTTCATTATCACCTCGAAACGCTATGTTGAGATAGCAACATCAAGCGATGTTGATATAGCAACATCAAGCGAAGCGATCACACTTTTTCAGTATGTGTCAAGCGAAACCAATAATTTTGGGAGGCAGACTCAAACGAAACGAGCAATGTTCTTATTATTATTATACTTTCCTCTTCTTCTTTTATATTTCTATATGTCCTCACGCTCGCCTGATTTTTTTTATCCCTGGGGTTGATTATCCATGGAAAATGAAGCACATGAGCTACCCTACACGAGCACTTAAAAAAGATCAATGTTCATAAAGCGTTTGTAAATCAAAATTGATAGATTTGGAACTTTGGATTTTTCCTTTCGTCGTCCTTTTCTTATTATCCTCTTCTTCTTCTTTCTTATTAGTATTCTACTGTATTCTTTTTCTTTTATATTTCTCTCTGTCCCCACACTCGCCTGAACTTTTTTATCTCTGGGGTTGATTATCCATGGATGTTGAGGACATGGAGCTACCTACACGAGCACTTACAAAAAACAATTTTCATGAGAGATAAGCCATTGTTGAGGATATTTCTATGAAAACTAAACGCCAAGGATGTCTCAAAACGTGCTCGGCTTGGTCTCCTCTTGATCATCTCTTACTTCGAGATTATGCTGAGGTCTGCTGGGCTACTTTTACTATCTCTCCCTGAACCCCGAACTTTATTATCCCCTAGTGTTTATTCTCACGGGCATGAGGTTATCTATATATATATATATATATATATATATATATATATATATCGGAGTAGGGCCCCGGGGCGGTGCCTGTCATCTCCATGGGGGGTGCAGGGCGCCCCCGGGAGCGTCCGAAGCGTCCCGGAGGGCCCTTGGGACCGCCAGGAACAGTTCGAGACCGCCCAAGACGGCCCGCGAGCGCTCCAAGACGCGCATTGATAGCCTCAGGAATGGCCAGGAAGGCCCGAAGACGCTCCAAGAGAGCTTCATGAGGCCCCGAAGGCATCCCAAGAGGCCTCCCAAGAGAGCCCCGACAAGCCAACATCGTTGTTGTTCATGGTTTTTTTAAAAGGTTTTTGGCCTTCTCGCTTGTTCGGGGCTCCGACGCTCCAAGGCCGTCCAAGAGTCTCCCAAAACCGCTCCAAGACGGCCGAAGAGGCCCCCAAGACCGCCCCAAGAAGGCCCAAGAGACCCCCAAAATCGTCCCAAGAAGGCCCAGGAGAGCCCCAAGATGGCCCAGGAGCCGCTCAAGACGGTTCCAGGAGTGCCCCGACAGGGCTTCAAGATTGCCTAAGCGAGCCCAGCGGTCCCCAAGAGGGCCACGCGAGGCCCCAACAGGCCCCAAGAGAAGGCCCCCAGAGGCCCCCAAGATGCCCCAAAATGGCCCTGAGCGCGCCCCAAGACGCCTCCAGGAGAGCCCCACATGATTTCTCACCGTTTCGGAACGCTTTCCTACTGCTGCGGTGCTCTCACAAGACAGCCTCAGCGAGGCCCAAGAGGGCCCCAAGACGCTCAAGAGCGCCCCAACAGGGCCCGAGATGGCTTGAAGATGGCCGAAGAGGGCCCCAAGAGGGTTTTCAAGAGGCAAACACCGGCCTATTTCCATTCGTAAAGCATACATTTTCAGCATACTCGTTTGCTTGGTCCTCACAGTGCCCCAGACGCCCCCGAGCCCCAAGACAGCCCAAGAGAGACCCAAGAGGGCCCACGACGGCCCAAACGAGTCGTCCTGTGAGGCTCACGGAACCCTCCCAAGACGGCCCAAGAGGCCCCAAAGCCGGCCCAGGAAGCCCCCAAGACGGCCTCAGGAAGGCCCAAGACGGCCTCGTTCGAAATCATGTTCCCGGAAGCCTCTCCAGGAACATGATTTCCGGGTTTCAAGGACGCCCAAGAGGGCCCCAGGACGGCCCCAAAAGGGCCCTAAAAGGACCTTCAAAAAGGCCCGGATGGCCATAGTTCGTTGATTTGCGTGAGATGTTGTTGGATTTTTTCCGCGCGGAGGAGACGGAGAGGACGAAGAAGGACGAGGAGGAGGAGGAGGAGGAGGAGGAGGAGGAGGAGGAGGAAGAGGAGAAGAAGGAGGAGGCAGGGAGGAGGAGTGGAGGGGAGGAGGGGGGGAGAGAGGAGGAGGCTCGAGGGCGATCGACGATCGGCGACGACGACCGGCGTCGGTGATTGACGACGACGACGATGACGACGACGACGACGACGACGACGACGACGACGATCGACGACGGCCGACGACGACGACGATCGACGACGATGACAACAGTCAACGCCGCCGATCGACGATCGACGGCGACGACGACGGCCACGCCGACGGCGGCGACGCTGCCCGCGTGACAGCCCAAGAAGCACGCAAGACAGCCTCATCGAGGCCCCAGAGGGCCCCAAGACGTCCAAGAGCGCCCCAAGAGGGCCCGAGATGGCTTGAAGATGGCCGAAGGGGGCCCCAAGAGGGTTTTCAAGAGGCAGAACTTTACCCATCCCTCCTGTAAAACGTACAATTTCAGCATACTCGCTTGCTTCGTCCTCAGATTGGCCCCCGAGGAGCCCCAAGACAGCCCAACACGGCTCAAAAGGCCCCAAAGCCGGCCCAGGACGCCCCCAAGACGGCCTTGGGGAGGCCCAAGAGGGCCTCGTTCGAAATCGTGTTCCCAGAAGCTTCTCCGGGAACATGATTTCCGGCTTCCCAGGACGCCCAAGAGGGCCCCAGGACGGCCCCAAAAGGGCCTAAAATGACATTCAAAAATTCCCAGAGGGCCACCGTTCGCTGATTTTCGCGAAATGTTGTTGGATTTCTTCCGCGCGGAGGAGACGGAGAGGGCGAAGGAGGAGGAGGAGGAGGAGGAGGAGGGGCAGGAGGAAGAGGAAGAGGAGAAGGACGAGGCGGGGAGGAGGAGTGGAGGGGAGGAGGTGGGGAGAGAGGAGGAGGAGGCTCGAGGGCGATCCACGATCGGAGACGACGACCGGCGACGTTGATTCACGACGACGACGACGACGAACACGACGACGACCGATGACGATCGACGACGATGACAACAGTCGACGCCGCCGATCGATGATCGACGGCGACGACGACGACGGCCACGCCGACGGCGGCGACGCTGTCCGACAGTTCCAGCGAGGCCCAAGGGGGCCCCAAGACGTCCAAGAGCGCCCCAAGAGGGCCCGAGATGGTTTGAAGCTGGCCGAAGAGGGCCTTCAAGAGGCAAAAATCGGCCCACTCCCGTTGTACAACGTACGTTTTCAGCATAGTTGCTTGCTTGGTCCTCACTGTGCCCCAGACGCCCCCGAGCCCCAAGACAGCCCAAGAGAGACCCAAGAGGGCCCAAGACGGCCCAAAAGGGTCGTCCTGTGAGGCTCACGGAACCCCCAGGACGGCCCAAGAGGCCCCAAAGCCGGCCCAGGAAACCCCCAAGACGGCCTCAGGGAGGCCCAAGAGGGCCTCTTTCGAAATCGTGTTCCCAGAAACCTTTCCGGGAACATGATTTCCTGGTTCCCACGACGCCCAAGAGGGCCCTAAAACGGCCCTCAAAGGCCCTAAAAGGACGTTCGAAAAAGCCCGGAGGGCCATAGTTCTTTGATTTGCGCGAGATGTTGTTGGATTTCTTCCGCGCGGAGGAGACGGAGAGGGCGAAGGAGGAGGAGGAGGAGGAGAAGGAAGAGGAGAAGGAGGAGGAGGCGGGGAGGAGGAGTCGAGGGGAGGAGGGGGGGAGAGAGGAGGAGGTTCGAGGGCGATCGATGATCGGCGACGACGACCGGCGACGGTGATTGAAGACGACGACGACGATGACGACGACGACGGTCGACGACCGACGACGACGACGATAGACGACGATGACAACAGTCGACGTCGCCGATCGACGATCGACGGCGACGGCGACGACGACGACGACGGCCGCGCCGACGGCGGCGACGCTGTCCGCGTGCGCAGAGCCACCCTGGATCCAGTCTTTTCTGCATCGTTCGAAATCCTGTCCCCGGAAGCGTCTCCGGGATCATGATTTCAGGAGGAGGAGGAGGAGGAAGAGGAAGAGGAGGCAGATTAGGAGGAGGAGGAGGAGGAGGGAGAGGAGGAGGAGGAGGAGGAGGAGGAGAGGAGGAGGAGTGGGCGGGGGGGGCTCGGGGCCGATCGACGATCGGCGACGGTAATCGGCGACGGTGATTGACGATGACGACGACGGTCGTCGACGGCGACGACCGACGACGACGACGACGACGACGACGACGACGACGACGATGGACGACGATGACAACAGTTGACGCCACCGATCGGCGAACGGCGACGACGACGACGTCTTCACAGTGCCACCCCGAGGAGCCCCAAGACGCTACAAGCCGGCCCAAGAGAGCCC